GTGCAACGGAAATTTGAGTTTGGTAAGACTGATTTACGTAATTATACGTAACGTTCTGCGCCAGCCGCGACAATATGAATACTGATTTGGGATGATCAATTTCATAGTCATAGCCAATAAATTGAGCTTATACAAGAACAAATAGATCATATGACTTCTAATTGCGACGTATAAAAATAACCTTTCCTTGCACAATCTCTCTTATAAATTTACTGTTAACTACTATAACCTCACTGTTAACTATACAATAAGGCTTATTTACGGTCGTGAGTATTCTATTTTTATCAGTTATTGGAATTCCCTTTGCCTATTAAGTAACAATATTTGTGACTGCGACCAATTTTTTAGAACACTATCAATCATGCGTAGCTTTAATCTCATAATGATTTTCACGTTGACCTTGGGTTTCTTAGCTACGAAATCGACTGCTTTTGATATCCCAAGCATTTTTAGTAATCTTCTCATTAATAATGAGGCATGGGAATTAATCGGTCCTTTAATGGAAAGTGTTCTTCCAACTTATGTAACTGCATCCGAATCATATCCAGCAGTGCATGCAATGCTCTCGGGCAATCTGGAAGCTTTCAGTGAAGCCATGTTTTTGAGAGGAGCATTGATGGATGCAGGAATTGCTCAAGCTTTTAAAACTAAGATTGGAACTGAATTCACTAGAGAACAGCTCCAAAGCGTTATTGCGAACAATTTATCTGGCCTAGATGTGGCGGCAGTAAGAAGTGGCATCGCCAAATCAACAGATGCGATTTGGTATGGGGGTAAGAGTAAATTTCACTGTAATGTTTAGAATATTCAAAAGCATTCTATACTCAATTATGATTCATTATATTCGCAGTTGAAGTAGGAGGAGAGACAGGTGTGTCATCAATTTGAATTTTGCTACAGGACATAGAAAGATTCCTCGTAGATGTAGTTAAATAAATATTTTTTTTTTTTACTTAGTGACGGTATCGACGGAAACAATAGTAGCCGAGTCGCTGGCAATAACAGCTGTTGAAGGTAAGAGAAAACTTTTAGGATAACGCATATCACGTATTTTGAAGACTATTGATTTTTTTTTTTTATGCTCAAATAATTAGGCGCAGCTGCGGTTGAAACAGCTGTTGTTGGATTTACGGCGGAAGAAGCGATAGGGATAATCATAGCAATTTTACTCATCTAATGATAAGCATGCATTCATGCAAAAACCATTAAATGAATTGCTCCAACGTAATAATAATGTGAATAAAATTAAACTAAAATGCAATTAATTGGTTTTATATACCACGAACAGTTTATACATTTAATCAAAAATAAGCTAATTTGACAGTTTCTAAAAAATAATTCCATCATAAATATAACTACATAAAATAAATGATAATTTAACAACAAAATAAATTTATATGATATACAGTGGTGTTCAAAAAAAATGACAATTTTTAAAATCACGTTATTTAAATGATTATCACACCAATTAAAATGTAT